GAGGATGAAATCGTGATAGTCTAATCGAGATAAAGGGCCTGTAAGTGGGCGGATCGGCAAGGAGATAGATAGATAGCATTCGAATAGGGGTCAACTGAAAACCACATGAGAGCATATCCTAGATTATGGTAAAGTTGAGAATAGAGAAATAGTGTAGAGAGGTTAGAAGTCGAGTTGTATAGGTGAATTGGTATAGGCGTGTGTATGTGTACAGAGAGACAGGAGACTAATTGAAATCCCGCGACGACGCCGTTGGGTCAGCAATTGGGCTGTACCACCAAAGTTACTATTCCTCAATCTATTCATCTCCCTTGAATCGTTTGCACGCCGCTGCCCCACGTGCACGATCAAAAGTTTCACCTCATTCCCACCCCTAGACTCTCAAGTCTCTCCAGGAGTCATCTCCCAAGAGGTGCGCGTGGTCACACGAGTTTCCGACCCTTAGAGAGAGTTATCGTCAGACCAATGTCGTCTGACAGAATCTCAGAAAATGCCCCAAGAAGCCCCAATCTCAAACGTGTACAAAACTATCCCCAAATGAACCTATTAATATTAAAGATTATCACTAATTCCACACAACCCCAACATTCACCCCAAACAATTAGAGAGAAACAATTTTCACAAAAGCATATTCCACACTTGGTAAGTGAAGATTTTATAATTATTTATGATAATAAAAATAATAAAAGTAATAAAAAGTGAATTGCCATTTCCTACTCTTGTTACTTTTATAACCCGTAGGGGGTGGGAGGTGGGTTACACCGTCGACCCGTTTTCTCCAGCTTCTCGTGCTCTCTGTATCCGACGCGCCCTTCGTTTTGCCGTTTGCGTAGACTGGCCCCCAGGGGTAATAATCATAATTCCCTAGCTATTGTTTCACAGATAATTAAGTTCTTGCCCGGCAGCTATACGCGAGAGAGAAAATCCACAACCAAAAAGGTAGAAGCAAGATGATAGAGGGAGTAAAGAACAGTGTAGTGTGTAGAGAGGGGTATTTTCTCCGTTCAACGAACGCGTCTTTGCCAATTCGTGCAAAAACCCATTTGGCGTCCTTATTCGGTTAGACGGCGCGCGGCTGACTACAGATATTAGGCGTCGCCTTGCTACTGCTCAAGAAACTTCGAGGTAAGTGAAAATAAATTGATTTATACCCTTCCACCCCTCAGAAAAAAAATCTATTTGCCGACGAGAAAAAAAAATGAAAAGAAAAAAAAAATCAAAAGAAAAAAAATAAAAAGAAAAAAAAATAATCTCAATAGAAACAAATTTTATTTATCATCAGTGAAATGGTAAATATTTTTCCTCATCAGTCTGAATTATTTCCTAATCTATGCATACGTGTCCAGCACGCTTTATAAAACGATAAATCACACGAGATACTCGGAATATAAATTCAATGCGTAAAATTAAAAACAAACACGATTGAATGTCCTTCTACTCCCCTTCCATTCCACTAAATCCCACCATCGCATTACAAAATGGCTTTCAGCAATCTTCCAAATTGCCACCATCACGCAGAGTGAAAAATCACAAGTTTTCGCAAGAACTGGCAAATACTTTATTCATGCATTTCTTGCTCCACTCCAAACATTACCAACTCCCAAAGTTCTTACGATCTATTGGTGATAAATCACTCAATTCTCTAGTAAGCATTCAATTCTCGATTAACCCCTAATATCCAATCCTCAAAATTCAATACAGCCTTCATCTCAAAACTCGGATTTAACATGAGCCTATTCATCCCCCTCTCCCCTGCAATCTACCATTTTCTCCCCCCCCCCCCTTGGTTCATTCGCTCCAGCGAGTTTGATACTCGGATGAATCCTGATTATCGGAAAAACCGTTGATCCTCTCTACCAGACTTCAAGTAGCTCCCCCAGAAGTTTGTGCCCGGCGGAAAAAGCTCTACTGCACGGAAACTCGAAAAAAAAAAAAGAGGAAAAGTTTTTTGTTCACTCTCCGCCGACCAAATCCATGTCTTTATTTTTTACCCTAGTCTCCCTTGAAATATTTGGGCCAATGCGAAATTTATAGCCTGTACACTTTTATCACGCCAGACTTACAACATTTTTTCAATACCCCTTCCCCGTATTGGATCGTTAATTGTGCACTGCCAGAGCATCCCTACCATCAACTTATCATCTGATGTATCAATTCAATTTTCGTGAGTGTATTTTTATAGTTGCAGCGTAACTTTACGTAATCACAAATTCAATTCGGGATATATATGAAAAGATGACTTTAACTTCCGTCTTACGATCACTGATACCAACCACTAAAAATGTCAACGGAGGCGCCGGAGATGATTGAGAGTGCGTTCCCTAAATCAATATGAGAAAAATTTCCTCCCCGCACTAAAGTTTAATCCTGATTGTATTATGGAATCGCTTGAGATATTGATATCAGTGCGCTGAGGATTGAGCATTAAATTTGGCATGTTTAAGGTGAATAATAGAGTGGATCTTCGGTTGGGTTTACGCACTCGATAATTCTCCGTGCAACATGGACAATCAAATCCTCAGTACACGATCGCCAACACGTGTGAGTATATTAGTAGCTGCCAGAGGGGAAACATACCCAGGCCCAATTACCGTGTACCCCCATGTACTCCGCTCTGTTAATACCCACATATATATTTATATATATGTGACAATATATACACATGCACACATGTACATGCAGTGAACGTACAAGAGTGGAGGTGCAGGAGGCATTATTGCGGACAATTCGCAATAGAAATTTCGCGTATTTATACCGTACGTAAAATTTGATTTTCATCTCTCAATTTAATTCAATCTTTTTTTTGGATTAATAGAGAGATCGACTACTCAGAACTCACGAGTTTTCCTGAAAATTTTCACGATGAAATATATCCGTCTAGCCATAATGAAGAAAAACCTATTAATTGTCAGTCGTTCTAGTAGTGAAAAATAGCTGTGGGCAGCCATTGTACCGCACAAACATATCACCTAGGTGTCATTAAGCCCACCAAGATTGATACATTAAAATTAAACTTGACAGTTTTAGTATGGGATATCCACAGGGTGTATATCAACGAAATATCATCATTGGGATTACCGAAATTGGCATAACGGCGTGATGGCCTTCCATTTTCAATATTTCCACTCTCGCCTAGGCAATAAATCGAGGATTCGAGTGTCAAAGCCGAAACTTAGAGAGAAATTTTCGGGGTGTGTGCGACTTTGTGATAAAGATAGAGAAAACCGTTCCGCCAACAAGTTCAAACTCAACTATATAAGGTGATGCTGGGTGGTAGGAGAAGAGCAAAGTTTCTACCATTGGGAATCGATGCATCTTACGACGAGAAATAATTCACACAAAAAAAGTTGATAGAAAAAGCAAGAAAAAATGAATGTGAAGCGTCGCATCACGGAGGGTGAAGTTGTTGAAAAGAGTGAAAGAAGAGCGAGAAGGTTAGGGACTGAATCCGTTAGAGAAGAGTCAGCACTTTAGTATCGTTAATGACATCATTTACTAGTCTCCGAGTCCAAATGCCCGACGTAAAGCCACCCCCCAGCCAACATTCATGTTCTCAGGGGTTTCCCTACTTGCCTTAAAAACACAAAAAAAAAAGAGCGAGAGGAAGAGAAAAAAATACAGCGAAAGAGAGAAAGGAAGCAGAGCAATTTTCTGCGTTTTGCTTTCACCAGTTCGATGTTAAGTCTACGTTCTCTCGAGTCCATATCGTACACGAAGGGGTGGGTATTATGCACCCCCTGTTCTCGGTCCCTCTCCAGACACAACGCACAGCTACGCCGGGGCTATTTCCCATTTGGCGGGCGAGCCAGACCTAGCACTTTTGGTGCCAACCGATAATTGGACGAATCGCAGTCATTCGCTTCGTGCGAAACTCCCTGTACCCTCCAAATTTCCGCCAATACCTTTCTCCCCCTCCCGCGCTCTTAACAGAGAAAAATCCCATCGCATTCGCTAAACTTCGTGTCACACGATTCAAATATAATTTACGTACCAACCGTTACAAAGATATTATCATTTACCTCGCGATTATATACTTTTTAAAAATTCTACTTTTAACCATTCAATTTTTCTCCTCGACATTCCATGTTCGCGAGCAAGCATAAGCATTGAAGGAGGCTAATGCAAGCGGATAAAAAATTCAATGCCAGGCAGTATTCTGCTCGTATCGGTATGGTTTGAGTCTTAGGGGGTAATCCCAGCAAGTCGTTCAGGGTGCCCAAGGAGCGCCCACTAAACTGTAGATTTGCATTAAGGGCAATCACAAATTCACAGAGCATTAACCTCGCTCGGTGGAGGTAGGTTAAAGAGGAGGGAGGGATGAAGGAAGAAGAAGATTCAGGGAATGAACAGTGGGGATGGGAGTACCAGGGGCAATTGGAGGTCTTGAGAAGGGCAAGGGGCATCTACTATCTGCAGATCCATGCTATTTGCGCAAAGTGGCCTGCCATCTCACCCCTTTTACCCCTGCATCTAACCGAGCTTCTCTTTTACCTCCATTCCCTGTAACCACCTACGTTTAGCCAACCAACGGGGGAAAAGGGAAGGTAATACATTGTTTGCTCTTCGTTCGCTAAACTAGACCGCATTTGGAATTAATTGCACGTTAGAAGGCCGCGGGATAATTAAAGCCGTCCAGTGCACGAGGCATCTCTCTGTCTTGTTTTATAGGAACGTCTCGAAATTGTTACGCCCTGCTGCCGCTGCGACATCTCTTCCATTACCATCCAATTCTAGCTTATCTCGTTTGGAATGCCCTACCAATGATTATAAATCAAATTTCTAGTTTGCCTTTTTTTCCCCCCCCTCGAGAAACAGAGAAATTTGGCGTTAGGTTTTGTTACGAAGGGTACCTTCGGGAGATAAAGGACTGTTTGGTGGTTGGAGTTGGTCAGCAATTAACATTTTTGCTGTAATAAATTCGAGGAGACTAGAACATTCGAAAATACCCTATCACTAAATTTGTACGAGTTAGACCCCCAGGAAATTCAACGGAAAAGACATAAATATATCTCATTTTATTCGTAAAAACACGACCATAACAATTTCCCTCCGACTCCTCAATAAATTAATTCCCCATAATTGTATCAACCAAACATGGAGTTATGTAGAGTTTCCAAATCTTTTTCTCGTTCTACTGCCCTGGCTTTTTCTTTTCTATACAATTCATAGTCCTCGTCATCTGTGGGTAATTCGTGTCGACAGAGAGGACACGAGTTTGTCTGCAAATATTTATTTGAATGAGGTAAGATGTGGAACGACAATCCCAGAATTATTACCTTCTCCAACCAAGGAATTATGCACTCTTTGTGGAATGAGTGATGACAAGGAAGACATTTAACAATATCGCAAGTTTCGAATGTTTTCAAACATACTGGACACTGTTTGGATTCAGCATCCGTTATTTTAATTTCCTCGAGTGCTTCCACAGCTGCTTTTGAAGCAGGAGGTGGTAATTTCTCATGCTGCCCCAACATTTCCCACATTCCCATGTCTCGTAAAAATCGCGCCATTTGTAACAATGAATTAGGTGTTGCTCCGTCCTGAAGTGGAGTCCATCCCATTTCTTCGAAATAATCTGACATCTATGGAATAATAATAAGAGATGACGACCAGGTACTAAATTCGACAATCAATAGTGTGGAGCCCTCACCTTCGAGTTCAATTTCTGACAAAATTATTCACCAGAACAAATATTTCGCCGAATTTTCAATGATAATATCCCTGACTGACAATCCAGAACGCACAGGTGCCTCAATTTTTGTTGACTGTCATGGCTTCGACTAAGCAACATCAGAGAATGACCAAATATGGAAGAAACACTGGATAAAGCCATTTTCTACATAACGATAATACCACGAAATTTCTGACTTATCCACACTGAGCCAAGGAGATAACGACGCGGATTTTGACAATGCCTATCATCCTATCATTTTTATCGATATGCCCGGGAACACGCGCCAAACAGGTATATAAATACCTGGTATAAGGATATAATAAATAAATTTCACTCACCGGCGTTGGATGAAAATAAGTCAATTTTCACCTTTCGAACGACCTACCTTATCTGTGAACATAAAAAAACAAATTGTTAATGAAATTTCGGCAAAATAATTTTTTTACTGCAAAGGCGATTTTTAATTTTGATTTGAGAGTTTTTATTTTGAATTATTATTTAAAATTATTTATTATTTTTTATTTTAATTTTTTTATTTTATTGGAAAGTTAATTGAATAATTGAAAATTGTTTGTAATATAAGCATTGAATATATCAAAAATCAGGAATGAAAAAAATGACATAAAAATAAAATGAAAATGATGCTTCAAAGTCATAAAAAAAATGCATACGAAACTCACCTTGCAGAGGCTTGCAAGATTCCCTCCAACTCCTGGTGATGTCCATGTGGAGGTTGAAGTCGCCTTGGATGCACCAGCACTCGACACAGTTCAAAAATTCACTAATCACTCACCACACAACCAAGAATGTTTTATCAACTGAAAATCCACAAAGATCAATAAAATAATATCAAAGATCAAATAATATTTTTAATCATTCAAAATAAGATGAATGAGAAAAGTAATGCTTCGAATCTAATTCGCACTCTCACTTCAGTCCGTATCTAAACACACACTAACCAATTCCGAGAAACGGACAAAGGAATTTTGTAAACACAATGACGCCGGGCGGCCGTTCGGCAATACCGAAGTTCAGTGTAACAAACGAAAAATGTCAATCACTGAAAATGCTCTGATAAACTGTTTAAAAAATTATTTCACATCCCAAAATCACTTGCACTGAGTCCTGCACTTTGTATTTTCAATGTTCACAGGCGGCGCCGGGTTTCTGCACTCACTATGACCCCGATGTTAACGGATTTTCACTACGCGACACGAGACCGACCGTTCCACGCACGGTCGCCGAACGACTGACTCCCCACTCAAAATGGCGGGGCGTTGGGGTCGGCGCTCGAGTGGGGGGTCGCCTGGCAATACTGCGCGCATGCGCACAGAACACCCTGCATGCGCACAGAAGACCGTGCATGCGCACAGCAGACCAAAGAGGATTGACTAAAGTAGAGGCTCAATCCTGAGGGTTGGAGTGACTCCAGCGGCATCGTAGTACTGCACCCCAAGAGAGGAAGGGCGCCACACGCAGTAGGGGTGTCTACCCGTCAATCGACTCGGTAACTGCCTCAGTAGCAGTCTCGGTGTCAGGGGGATCAGTCCACTGGGTGAATTTCATTTTATGTGTTACGAAATCGGTATTCACTGAAATTGAAGAATTTAAAATTTTCAAAAAAGTATTAGGTGAGCATGAAAATCGAGGAGGTATTCGCTGAAATTGAAAAATTTTAAATTTTCAAAAAAGTATTAGGTGAGCATGAAAATGGAGAAGGTATTCACTGAAATTGAAAAATTAAAGATTTCCAAATAAGTATTAGGGGAGCATAAAAATCGAGGAGGGATTCACTGAAATTCGAAAAGTCGAAATCTGTGAAAAAGTATAAGGACGATCAATTGAAGCCAGTGTTTGAGACAGCGAATAGATATCATTTTTATCATTCTCTGGCTATGGTGGAGCTGGTTACGTGCAGGGCACCAATTCTGGTCAGTATTAAGGCACAGGATTCCATGAAAAAATTATTATTTATCTTTATATTGAGTAAAAATATCTCTTCCAGACTGCTGCACTGTGGATGTCAGGATCTCTGATGTTCTGTGGGAGTTTCGTTTCGACTGGTCCCTGTGGCAGCGGGACTGCTACTGAAGAGTCGCTGAGTCGGCTAACGAGCTCCGTCTTATGGGGTCGGCTACTACGATGCCGCTGGGGTCACTCAAACCCCCAGAACTGGGCCTCTACTTTGGTCAATCCTCTTTGATTCCAACTTCGATGGAAACGGAAAAGAACTCCCAAGGGTCGAATCGAATCGAATAAAAATAAAATCTCTTCGAAATCGAGGAGCTATTCACTGGAATTAGAAAATTCGAAATTTTTCGAACAGTATCAGGGGAGCATGAAAATCGAGGAGGTATTCACTGAAATTGAAAAATTAAAAATTTTCAAAAAAGTATCAGGTGAGCATGAAAATGGAGAAGGTATTCACTGAAATTGAAAAATTTTAAATTTTTAAAAAAGTATCAGGTGAGCATGAAAATCGAGGAGGTATTCACTGAAATTGAAAAATTAAAAATTTTCCAAAAAAGTAACAGGGAAGCATGAAAATCGAGGAGGTATTCACTGAAATTGAAAAATTTTACATTTTCATAAAATAAAATTGACCCAGTCGAGTGGTCCCTCTGACAACGGGACTGCTACTAAGGCAGTTACCGAGTCGACTGACGGGTAGACACCCCACCATTGGGTGCGACCCCCTCTTTCTCTTGGGGTGACGTACTACAATGCCAGTGGGGTCACTCAAACCCCCACTGAGCGGCTCAGTTCTGCGCGAGCACCCCACCCGAAGAGAAGGAGGGGGGCGCACCCAATGGTGGGGTGTCTACCCGTCAGCTGACTCAGTAACTGCCTCAGTAGCAGTCTTGCTGTCAGAGGGTCTGAGCCGCTCAGTGGGGATTTGAGTGTCCCCACCGGTATTGTAGTACTTCACCCCAAGAAAAAGAGGGGGCCGCACCCAATGGTGGGGTGTCTACCCGTCAGCGGACTCGGTAACTGCCTCAGTAGCAGTCTCGCTGTCAGAGGGACCAGTCGACAGAGTGAATATTAATTTGTGCGTTACGAAATTGGTATTCACTGAAATTTTAAAATTTTATGGAGTCACTTAAATTTTTTGCGTCTATTTTCGAATTTTAGTAAATCCCTCCCCATTTTTATGCTCCCCTAATACTTTTTTGAAAATTTTTAATTTTTCAATTTCAGTGAATACCTCCTCGATTTTCATGCTCCCCTGATACTTCTTTGAAAATTTTAAATTCTTTAATTTCAGTGAATACCAATTTCGTTTTTTCGTAACGCAGAAAATAACACTCACCCTATCGATTGGTCCAGTTACCGAGTCGGCTGACGGGCAGACACCCCCCTTGCGCGTAGCGCCCTTCCTCTCTTGGGGTAGAGTACTATAATGTCGCTGGGGTCACTCAAACCCCCAGAACTGAGCCTCTACTTTGGACAATCCTCTTTGATTCCAACATCGATGGAAACGGAAAAGAACTCCCAAGGGTCGAATCGAATCGAATAAAAATAAAATCTCATCGATTCAGAATTAAATTTTCGATCGATCGGCACTGGTTGTATTCTTCAATTACCGGTGAATATATGAATTTTTAAGAATTTTTAATTTTATCGACGTTATCATTCTCGTACTCGTTCCCTGCCTTATTGACATTCACATATTCAGATGGTAGATTTCATGTTGAAGATTTTGTATAGGTGTTGGCAATCTCCTATAATTTCTACTCGTGGTCTATATATAACCGTGTATATAATAATGGAGTGCAACGAGTGCAGCAATAGAATACCTCACAGCTGTTGTGCGTATCTCTGTTTGTTATAGAAATAATCGGTTTCCGTGGATCAAACAAAATATTCCACTTTTCCAATGATGTGAGTGCGCATTTCCAAATTAAAAGGATTCCAGACCACTCCAAGGATGGATATTGCTAAATCGTTATTCAACATGAGAGTGCATGAGGGTTATGTTGGTAAAGATGATTATAATGTGAGTAATTAACAATTGCAATATCAAATCATTTTTGTAAATAGAGTATTGTAAGGACCCGAGTGATTCGTTGATAGGGATAGATCACACGTAGACAATTATCAGAAATAAATATTTCTCAGGGAGAATCGATCACTTCAATAATTTAACGATTTATTGACTAAATTAGGTCTTTGTCTGATCCCGAGGTATTAGTTATTATAAGTTACAAGGAAGTGAAAGCTGAGTCGTCGAATTACTAAGTCTCTGTCTGTCTAAAATAATAATGTTCAACATTATTTGTTTTGGATAATATGCGCCTCGTTTTTCCAATGGCCGTAGGCATCAAGAAATAAATAAATTAATGCATAAACCTATTTGTTTACAATATAAGTGTTGTGAGACGTACACTGGGATGTTACCAATAGCAGTTACTCGCCTGTACAAATGTTCTTTTTCTTTGATAAATACAGAAAAAATTGGAAGCAGGTTCCGATGATGACTGTGACACGGACATTAACGGTTTCTGCGAGGATGTCATCTGTCCCATCCCCGGTGGTCCATTCTCCGCCCTAACTGCCTCCATGTGGCCTCAAGATATTTTGGCTAAACTCAGCCAGCCTGATGATCCAAACTCCCAACCCGATTATCGATTCGACGAATTCGGTTTTCGCGTAGAAGAGGAAGATGGTCCTGAGCAAAGTTCGAAGAAACTCCTTGGCGTTCCCTTCATGGACGATCCAGAGTACAAACATCAGTGGATTTCCGTCTTGGAGTTCACTCACACTCAGGAAATCTCCGACATCTCCTGGGAGAATGGAAAAACCGACGAGCGTCTCCCGAGAACAGAAAAACTTCGAGAAATGGTACGACGAGGTATACCCCATTCCCTTCGCCCTAGAATCTGGATGAGAATATCAGGAGCTTCGCAAAAAAAATCATCATCAGAGATGACCTATAAAGACATCGTCAAGGCTTCCAGTAATGACGTCCTGATGACCTCTAAACAAATAGAAAAAGATTTGCTACGTACTATGCCAGCGAACGCCTGTTTCTCTCACCTTCACAGCACAGGGATCCCAAGATTACGTAGAGTAATGAGGGGATTGGCCTGGCTGTACCCTGATATTGGTTACTGTCAAGGTACAGGGACAATGGCAGCTTCTTTGCTTCTCCTACTTGAAGAAGAAGATGCTTTCTGGATGATGGCAACCATTGTAGAGGATTTGCTACCAGCTTCTTATTATTCCTCTACTCTCCTCGGTGTCCAAGCAGATCAGAGAGTTCTAAGAACACTCATAGCTAATTACTTACCTGACATTGATCATGTGCTGGTTCAGCATGACATTGAACTCAGTCTGATCTCCCTTCACTGGTTCTTAACACTTTTTGCTTCAGTGGTTCACATGAAAATATTATTGAGGATATGGGATCTATTCCTGTTCGATGGATCGATTGTTTTGTTCCAAATAACTCTAGGAATGCTGAAGATGAGGGAGAGTGAGTTGAAACAGCTCGAGAATTCCGCTCAGATCTTCAATGCACTTTCCGACATTCCTGGAGATATTGATGATGTTGATCAGCTGTTCGAAGTTTCATTAGATGTTAGTGGGTCTTTGACTGATGTTTTAATAGAAACCCACAGAAGAAGACATCTGGCGTATTTAATGGCGGATCAAGGTGGACTTGTGGGAAATCCTGATGCAAGTCCCAATTTGCCTAAGCAGCATTTGAACCGGAGACAGATGAAGAGGAACAAATCGATGTTGCAGAGCTTTTTGTTTGGAGGAGAAGAGAGAGGAGAGGATGCCAAATCCAAGAATATTAGACAGACGGAAATTTTAGTCGATTTGAGAGAGACGGTGCTGCAAGTAGCTAGACATTTTATGAATGTCGATCCTAAGATGAATGGTGGAGATCTGGTGGCAGATTACACGATGGAGAGTCACTCTAAGGATCATGATAATTATATTAATGTGTCAAGAACTCGTCAAAGACGAGCGAAGGCCTTGCTGGATTTTGAGAGGCACGATGATGATGAGTTAGGCTTTCGGAAAAATGACATAATCACGATTATCAGTCAGAAGGATGAGCATTGCTGGGTTGGAGAGCTCAATGGACTTAGAGGATGGTTTCCAGCTAAATTTGTCGAGTTACTCGACGAAAGGAGTAAACAATACACGTGCGCCGGTGATGATGCTGTTAGTGAAGCTGTGACTGATCTTGTTCGAGGAACTCTATGTCCAGCTCTCAAGGCTGTTCTGGAACATGGCATGAAGAGAGCCAACTTTTTAGGGGGCCCCTGTCATCCCTGGTTGTTTATTGAAGAAGCTTCCACCAGAGAAGTTGAAAAAGATTTCAATTCAGTTTACAGCCGACTAGTTCTCTGTAAAACATATCGATTGGATGAAGATGGAAAAGTGCTTACTCCGGAAGAGGTGAATATTCTATTCTTTTCATCTGTAGAATACAATACTCTAATAATTATTTATTTAATTAATAGCTTCAGGAAAAAGACAGAATATATTATTCATTTTGTAAAACATTTTACTAAATACAGATCAATCATGATTAATCATTTTATTTATGACTTCAGCTACTTTATCGTTGCGTACAGTCGGTGAACCTCACTCATGACAACGCTCATGCACAAATGGACGTGAAGTTACGTTCTCTAATTTGTCTCGGATTGAACGAACAGGTACTGCACCTCTGGCTCGAAGTTTTATGTTCGTCTGTCGAAGTAGTACAAAAATGGTAAGTGAATTCTCACCGTATAGATGAATATCATTCACCTCAGACACTTTAATTCATTAATTGTTCCTTGATTTGAATAGGTACCATCCATGGAGTTTCGTGAATAGTCCGGGCTGGGTGCAAATTAAATGTGAGCTTAGAATCCTTAGTCAATTTGCCTTCAATCTCAATCCAGATTGGGAATTACCACCGAAGAAAGAGCAGTCTCAACCCCTCAAAGATGGAGTTAGAGATATGCTTGTGAAACATCACTTATTCAGTTGGGATTTGTAAATAGATATTAGTCAAGAGATTCTTTGACTAATCATCTCTAAATTATATTCTCCATTTATTATTGGTTATTAAGAAAGTGCGTCTGATTAAACTTCAGGTACTTACTTGATTTATAAACGAGTTCTCAACTTGTGTTTTTCTTATAGAAAATAAAAGGGGTACATGTGCGGTTTAGGTCCACCAAACAGATAAATCATTGAAATAATCATTGCTCTGATGAATAACCCATTCGTATCCTCTCAGTATTCCAAAATAAGAAGAGAATGAGAGGAAGAATTAGAGAAAAATACATCGCCAAATAGTTCTGAGGTAAACTCTGTTCATCAGAAATCCTTAAAGCCCCCCTCCCCCTGCTGTCGCTGTTGACACGACGAGTGAGTGATATTATATTCAATAATTTGAATTGCTACAGAAGGGCAGCAGTGGATTAATCACTGGTCGTGTTGCAGTCAGTGATGGTAGGTGGTCGGGTGAGGTGAAGTCAGAGTTTTTAGTGAAGTGCCCAGGACTATTTGAAATCCATCTTTCTGTGAGTCCATTGTCTCTAAATGTACCAACATGTGTTGTCTTTGGGGCCGAGAACACCGCCACGTCCTCGTCGTGGCCCTGGATAACGCAGAGAGCGGTGTATTAACAACCATAGCTCCCAAACTAATTGTTTCCCTCTAAACACGTGCCCAGATCCTTAATTAGGTGACGGAAGCCCATTCCAATACACAACATCCAGAATGATTTGATGGACCTGAACTAGACATTTACCAATGAAATGATGGATTGGATAGTTGATGGGTTCAAAAATAATATTCGTCCGGTAATTTTCGTGTCAGTCATAAATGAAATGTTGAAAAAATTAGTGAAAAAAAATCTGGGGTGTGCCGTACACGTACAAGTACGAAGAGCTGTATACTATTTTTCTGAAGAGACTGAAGATTTAAAGAGAAGATGAAAATAATAATTTATTAATTTATAATTTTATCATTCAATCATCCGTCCTGGAATTTGTTGAATCAAAGAAAAGAATCATTACAAAAAAGTCAAGAATTTAAAGGGTACAAATATTAGATAGGTGGATCATGGTAGATAAGTTTAAAATGTTAGACAGTTTAATTTTGAAAGTATTCTCGAAACTTTGTAATGGGTTTATCGATTCGTAAATTCGAAAATATATTTGAAAAATAATTTGCACACCCATCACATACTCGTCTTTACCGCTTCACTTCGAAAATGAAAAAACCACTTGACATTTCTGCCAAAACCAAAAAATATATATATTTCTCATGTGTAAGTGTGTGTATAGTATAATTTGTTTACGTGCAGTGGATAAATGCATAATTAACTCGACTAATAATTAATTCTAATTTCACTAACTCTAGTACTACAATTAATCATTCATTTCGTGTGCATAGTTTCTTCATCTGTCATTTTTTCCATAATGAAACATTAAGAAAAGCTATTTCAAAAATCCATGATGAGCTAAGCGTGACTAATCTCTATTGTCAAAAATATTTTAGCCGACAGATTTCCTTAAAATTCCTGAGTTGATGTCACTCTTTAAATTATTTATTTATAAATGACTGCATCTAAAGATCAATCATTTTTTCCAAATTTTACTTGCACTATTATTTCTATGAATGAAAGTTAATTTTATTAATCGGAAGAATTTGTTAATTACTCAATATAAATCTACTCCTTATTGATAAAGACAATTTTTACTAACATTGTAACGATTTTCCTTCATTGGACACTTTCCGTTGTAGTGATGGGCATAACTATTTCGTCTTAATATAAATCAAGTGAAGATCCATCACGTTAGTTCCCGTAAATCCTGTCTTCAGCAAGTCCCCTCCATCCTCAAAATCCGAATAAAAATTGTAAGCATCATTATTCATTAAATAATCCTTACTTTTCTCGTTTTTTGCAATATCAGCACGACCAAAGGCTCCATCAGCATCAGTCGGTCCATCCTGTCCATCAGTCCCAGCACTTAAGAGTAGAACATCAAATTTCTTCAACTTGGGACTTGTTTCTGTCTCCTGGGCCCAATCCAGGGAGAATTGCAGAGCTAATTCCTGATTTCTTCCACCCTTTCCTGTTCCTGTGACGACAACCGATGGCTCACCAGCGCCTATCAGCACTAGTCTTTTATCATTAGTCTCGCTGTGCTCTTCCAAAATCGAAAAAATTGCATCAACTTTTTCGCATATCGTTTCTAGACCTTCAGAATTTTTGACACAGTCTGTAAACTCTTTTTTCGTTATTGAATTATCCAAAATTTTACAAAAAATGTGGACGAGTTTGACGTACATTTTACTGACATTTTTCACGAGTCCCTCAACATCGTTGAACAGATAAATCACTTTGAAATTTTTTTTCATTGCTTCACCTCGTGCTGCATTTATCGCACACGAATTATTACCAATAACGAAGTTATTCACATTATTAAATTTATTTTTATCACGAGTATCATTACTGTTTAATAATTTTATTATTTCAGTGTCGATGTTTTTTATATTATACTTATCAATTATTTGGAAGACTTCGGAGGGATTTCTTGAGGCACAAAATGTTGGGCCCCCACCAATTAGCTCCAGTGGGTCCCCAATTATATCTGATAGGACGAGACTGATGACAGTGGCTGGGTGAGCTAATTCTACAAATTTTCCTCCTTTAACCTTTGACAATTTTTCTCTAATAATATTAACTTCTTTAATACTAGCTCCACAGTTCTGTAATTTTTTCCAGAATTGATTTTTCATATCCAGAGTTATGGAGGGAGGGGGCATTGAGAGAAGAGCGGAACTTCCGCCTGATACTAAGATGATTAAAGTATCATTTTCATCAAAAGACGCTACTAAATCCATCATTTCTCGAGTGATTTTTAGGGTTTCCTCATCTGCTGTATTATTTACACAATTTTCCCGATAATCTACAACACCTGTCGACTTAAAATATGACAAATTAATTCCCTCTAATTGTTGATTTATGGAGCCCCGAGGGATGCTAATGATTCCTTTAGTTATTCTTTTTCCCAGCAATTTCTCCATCTCGATAGCCATTCCCATCACTGCTTTCCCGAAACCAATTAAATAGACATTCGTACCTAATGCGTAAGTCTTGTTTTCTACTAATAAATTGTTTCCACTCACTCGAATTTTATTCTGAATTAACACGTGAGGTTTCACTGAGTTTAATCCAGCGAAAAATATTTCTTTCAGATCTTTTTTCATCTCCAGGTGATTACTCTTACTGCCTATTTGTTCCATGATTTTTTAGTTTATTATGTGGAGAATTTGAATAGACACAAGAATACTCAGCAACTGGTCGCACAGTTATTAGGTAACTCGAGCTATCATGTTACTGTTTTTGTTGGTGCCTCCAAAAATGCACAATGACGACTTGCATTTGGCCAATCCTATTATTTTTCCAATGAAAAACGAACAAGTGTTTGTTAGTCTTCTTGTGACGGTAAGGTAGCGACTCTGCTATGCATAATCGTGTACGGATGACAAAATATCGTAGATTTATTTCAGTTACTCTGGAAGTTGTGTCTCGGTACATGCATTTTGGTAGCAGACAAAATATTTGGCGGAGACAGAGACAAGTTCCACAATTGATTGTACAATCGCCAACTCTTCGGTATGTAAAAAGATAAAATCCGCGCAAATTCAGAAATTCTGAAATTATTCGCCTACAATTCATCTCTTTTTTATTTTGATGAAATGTCTCTCCCGGTTTTTTTTAGGTGAAATAATTATATAGATAATAATCGAATTACTAATTGTAATAATCTTGAACAATATCTTACGCCAGGATAAAGAAATAAGGCAATTTTATTATTTATGTAATATATTAGATATACTCTATCCTGATATTTAATTTCGTTGAAGAAGGCACTATTATATTATACGATATCCTAGCAAAATAAAACGGTGACACAAAACGTGACGTGAGTTTTTTAATTAAGGATCTGACATTCATGTTGAATGTCATGAAATGTAAACTAATTGTTTTCAGAATAGGTGTGCATGTAATTTTTATAAAAATGTTCGAAAAAGGGGTAAAGTTGAAGCTAACAACCTGAAATTCGATCACATAATTAGTGTTAACATAATTAGAAACACTTCCCAAAAAATCGCAATGATAATTCGTGAAGCGAGAGCAATTGTCATATTCTTTGCAAAAAAAGTGTTTTCTGTTTTAAAACACTCGTCTCACTGCCATTTACTAAAGCCCATAAAAATATAAATACCCGTTAATAAATAATTTTCAAAATATTCAATAATTAGAATTTTGCTTTTAGCTGCTTTAGAATTACAATAATTGTTTTCGCCCGCAAAATCACGTAAAAATTTATCATCAGACAGAAAAATATAGTATTACTGTCCCACTCTGCAATGTACGTCTTCCAGAAAGAAATATTTAATATATATTTGTTAATAAAACGTTCAAGTAACTGGATAAGAACATATTTGATAAACTATTTGCCGAACGATTGTTTTCCTAAAAAAATGACTTTTTCAACAAATTCAAGGAAACATGTGAATTTAATTTAATGTCCCACTCGTTTACTTGAAATTTATATTCATAATTGATTTTTTTCTTTTGATATGAATCAAGTGGATATCCATAACATTTGTTCCTGTGAATCCAGTTCTTAATAAGTTACTCCCTTCCTCAAAATTGGAATAAAAATTGTATGCATCATTATTCATCAAATAGTCTCTACTTCTCTCATGACTCGAAATGTCAGCGTACCCAAAGGCCCCGGCAGCATCCGTTGGTCCATCTTGTCCATCAGTTCCAGCACTCAGTAAAACAACATCGAATTTCTTCAGATCTGGATGCTTCGCGATTTGATGAAACCAATCCAGAGAGAACTGCAAAGCTAACTCCTGATTTCTCCCACCTTTTCCTGTTCCTGTGACAATAACCGAGGGCTCTCCCCCTGCTATCAACACTAATCCTTTATCATTATTATTCCTGATCATTGAAAAAAGTGTAGCTCTCTGCCTGAGTCTTTGGTAATATCCAGAATGCTTTAAAGAATTTTCAAACTCTTCTTCTGTCAACGAATCATCAATCACACCACAAAAGAGAGTTATCAGCTCAACATACAGTTTACTGATATTTTTAACCAATCCTTCGATATCATTAAATAAAATTATCACATCAAATCCTCTGGCAATAGCTTCATCCCGTGCAGCATCAATTACACACGAATTATTCCCAATTATGAAATTATTCACATTGATAAAATGACTGGTATCGCCAACTTCTTCGTTCCTAGTCAATAATTTTTTGATATTATCATCAATGTCTTTAATGTCGTATTTGTCGAGTATTTTCAGAACTTCCGAGCAACCTTGGGACGGGTAACAAGTGGGTCCACCTGCGATTAACTCTATTGGATCTCCAATGACATCAGACAGAATGAAACTTAAGACAGTAGCTGGATAAGCTAATTCTGCTAATTTTCCACCTTTTACCATCGATAATTTCCGCCTCACAGTGTTTACCTCTTTAATGTCAGCTCCGGAGTTCTGAAGTTTCTTCCAGAATTCATTTTTTTCTCTCAAAGTTATGGAAGGCGGAGGCATCGAGAGTAAAGCTGACCCTCCACCCGAAATTAAGACAATTAAAGTGTCTTTTTCCCCTAAACTAGTTGCTAAATTCATTATTTCCTGCGTAGTGGCAAGAGTATCTTCATCTGCTTGATTATATTTACTATTATCACGGTAATCAACAGTTTTTGATGATTGAGAAAGTGAAAGACTATCCGTGGGTGTGATTTGAGCCATTGAGCCTCGAGGAATGCTAATAATTCCCTTGACCAATTTATTTCCTAGGAGTTTCTCCATTTCAATTGCCATTCCCATCACTGCCTTCCCGAAACCAATAAGATAAATATTGTGACTTAATGGAAAAATCTTGTTATCAACGTGTAAGCTAGTACCAGTCACTTTTATTTTCCTCCTTATCAGCACAGGAGGTCTCACTGAATCTAATCCGACGAGGAAAATCTGTTTCAACTCGTTTTTCAGTTTTAATAGATGAGAAATTTTCTCTGCCATTTTTATCGATGACTTGTTGCAATCACATAGCAATAATGAGTTTGAGGACGAAACTCTTTTGATAATTATCTGAGATTAGTCGACTTTATCAGTAATTAACAAAATGTCAATACGAGAAAGAAGAACTCCTACCGCAAGGCGCCAAATTCCACTGAATGTTAGGCTCCAGCGATAATTATTCAACAGCAACTCTTCAATTGAATAATAACTATTTATCTCCAGCTGATGTTGATGTTGGGGAATTCCTGAGGAAAATTAAATGAAAAATGAGGATTCTATTGAGACCCAATGAAAAATCGAGGAATTAAATGAAGCAAGTGTAATTTCGATAGAAACAGAAACTCTTTACTCACAAATTGCATGATAAATTGATTCTAAAATCGTTATCTGGAGTGCAGAAGTCATAAGACTGATTCTAATTATGATGATAACCGCAGTAATTGTGGTGTGCAAAATATAAGGCTTGGAGACCAGTGTCCCCACCATTTAATGACTATTTTTCATTAATCTGGCCGCTCCGTTTGAATTTGAATTTTGTACTACGAGTTTATTTCAAAGTTGTGTTTCATTGTGATATTCTATTTCTGCGACCAATTAAATGAGGACTGTTGATTCATTAATTCACTTGGTAATGAACTGTGGAGAACGGTCTTTAAATCTCATTAAGTTGCACATAAAAAAATGTAAATTGGGTGGATAACAATAATAATGTAATTTACGTTTATATTTTTCAGTGTGCAGGAGTCACGCATTGATAATAATTCAAGAAAAAGAAAGATCAGATGCTGTAGACTTTGCACTTAGATGCAGTATGTATATTATTGTAGTTGCTGCATGCATGCAGAATTTGATCTTCTCCTATGTCGCATCCTGTATCTCTCAGGACTACTTCTCAGTTCTATCAAGTACATATGTACCCGAATATATTCATATTTTCATCCGAATACTCTTACCGAAATGTTTCTCCACTTTCTCATTTTCTTTTTCGATAGAGTTTGAACTTTCCTGTCGAATTCCAAAGATAGAAAATCATTTCGTCCAACTCCCACCGAATTTTATAGTTTTCTATCTGCAAAGTAAGTTAACAAGTTATTTTTATGTGCAAATGCTAATAAAAATAATGAGTAATTCCATAATGAAACTGGTTTGTGCATAATCATTTGATTTTCTAGATATTTTGAACTGTTAACCCTTTCCTAAATTTTCTGATTTATAATTCACGACCTAGGGTTCACCTTTGAACTTATTAACTTTATGACACCTCGTCTTTTATGATGGGTGCTTGAGTAGATGTACGAGACTTCTCACTCATCCCTTTTAGAGGTATGAATTTATAAATTGATAATGAGATAAATTTCATGAAATTCAAAAACACTGGAAATTATTTAACCGAAATCATCCCAGCGCTCAGCGTTACCCAGGGTTTGTGACGGGGATGCGGGTGGTATAAACCCCACGAAGATCATGTATGGTCTGACCTAATTGTCCTTGACCTAATTGGGACGGATGCTATTTTGATCCAGATCTCCTTTATGATGCTCGTAGGTGGCTAGTCAAGGTATGAAGTAAATATTATTAAAAGATCGTATAGTTCACCATTTCCGATTGTCTTATTGTTGCGTAAAAAAATGTTTGCATTATTAAATCATGGATCAAGATAAAATGTGTTTAGGAGATCAAAGGCTAAATGTCAAAGACACGCAAGTCTAGTCACGCAATTTGCACGTAATCGCCAGCCCCTATTCTATCGATGCGGCAATTTCTACACTAATTTTTAATTGCAATTTAACATTAACAACTGAACTCCTACAGTCCACAGCGCGTGCATCCTGCAAGGTCTACCGAAACACAATGGTCATTGAAATAATCATTTCTCCGATGAAAAACCCATTCGTATCCTCTCAGTATTTCGAAATAAGAAGAGAGATGAGAGGAAGAAGTAGAGAAAAATACATCGCCAAATAGTGCTGAGGTAAATTCTGTTCATGAGAAGTCCTTAAAGCCTCCCTCCCTCTGCTGTCGCTGTTGACACGACGAGTGAGTGATATTATATTCAATAATTTGAATTGCTACAGAAGGGCAGCAGTGGATTAATCACTGGTCGTGTTGCAGTCAGTGATTGTAGGTGGTCGGGTGAGGTGAAGTCAGAGTTTTTAGTGAAGTGCCCAGGACTATTTGAAATCCATCTTTCTGTGAGTCCATTGTCTCTAAATGTACCAACATGTGTTGTCTTTGGGGCCGAGAACACCGCCACGTCCTCGTCGTGGCCCTGGATAACGCAGAGAGCGGTGTATTAACAACCATATCTCCCGAACTAATTGTTTCCCTCTAAAAACGTGCCCAGATCCTTAATTAGATGGTAGAAACCCATCTACTCAAATGTACAACATCCCGAATGGTTTCGTGGACCTAAACTAAACATTTACCTATTTAATTTTATGTGCATTTTGGCTCTGGTGGAGTAAATAAATAGGTCGGGAATATTGAATAAGTGAGTGAACAAATGTATGTATTACTTCAGTTCTATTAATTTTGTACAGTTATTATACAATTGGTTTTCTTTCGTTTACGCTTCCATTCCATTCTTTCTTCTATACAATAGTATTTGAGTAAGCAATTGTTCATATTTTAAAAATCTCAGATAATTCGGAGGATATCCCTTAACAGAAATACCTCTAATTCAAGCGTTCGTAAAAAACTGCTCGAATCACACACAGTAGATCTTGACCTTTACATCGTTTGGCTTTTTCTGTATTTTTTAATGCTTTCAATACTTTCCCATGATGTTTGGAATAATGAGAAAATTTGTAAACAAAATAAAAATTGTTTGGGCTGCGTCAAAATGAAGTTGAAATCGATATATTCTATGAGGCAGAGAAAAGATAAAATCCACGAAATATGGAATATACGATAGTTTTTTAATTTTATGAAAATACTGGAAAGATTTACTGATTACTCAAAGAAAATATAAAAAATCGGTTATTAAATCATGGGGGAACACATTCAAATTGTAAAAGACAACTGGCAGTTTGTCAACTAGTTAAAAGAAATAATATCTATGCATATTTATATGCTATAAATACATTCTTGTTCTATCTATATAAATTAAAAAATGAAAAAAAAATCACAATTTTGTAATGTACACATTTATATGGGTATCTATCTGTTCCGCGGTTCAGGCCTAATTCGCAAGATCTGGAATTGGATCTAAAAACTTTTTGTGCGCAGGAAAATCTATAGTCAAACTGTAAAAAAAATCAAAAATCAAACTGAACAATAAAAAAATGTTCTCTGTGTAATTCCACGAAAACAATGTTTTATTAAAAAATGTATTATGAAAACAGAAGAATTGCCAAATAAATTCTGAAAAAAAGCTTTCAAACTGAATGTTCACTGCTGAACTACAGAAATCTGCGACAAAAATTTGAATCCATCATTTAACTCGTTTAGCAGATAGAGTACACCACTCGTAATGAAACAGAAATAAGAATTATTGGCATGAAAAAATGATAATTGTCTTTAAGTTTGTACCACAATATTCTTAAAATACAAATCAAGAATGTATTTCTTGAAATAGGCTGGCCAAGTTCCGAGAAATGTGATAACCGATATCTTCTTGTCATTCATTAAATTGCAGTCTTCTGGTACATTTTGTGTGTTGACATTTCCACAACATTGAAAATGTTTCTTTACCTTTTTTTCTATCTTTGTTGCTTTACATATAACTTAGACTAATAAATTGTTTCTTAACGTATACAATTGGACAACTTAAGCTCGTAATCCTTACGAACTAACTAAGTCTCACCATTTTTAAGGACTCAACGATAATGCGATATCGACTGTACAGTTTCTTCATAGATTTTTTTTCTCAATTTGAAAAAAAAATAATAATAATTTATTGATAACCGTGGAAATTAATTCTTAAGACTATCTAAGAAGTTCCCAGCTCGGCTGATTACTTATTCGAATTTCATTTCCCGACCGTCTATTGGACCCAATGGCCCACTTTACACTGCAATTTTTTTTGTCCATTGAAAATGAAACGAAAGAGATAAGACTGAAAATTGATTTTAAACAATTGTAAAATTTCCAGGTAAGGATAACTTTCTACTGAGCACTGATCTTCACCTTTCTTTGTAAGGATTTCATAAGCTCCATTAAAGCTTCTCTCCTTTTACCCTCAAATTCCATAAATTACAGAGATATACGCAAAAACTTTTGGTTTAAAATCTTCAAAATTATCTGTTCCTCATTTGATGTTGTTGAATCGTTCTGTTTTAAATATATTCAAATATTTAAATGTTTCCGGAGGGGAATTCGTCCGGAGATATAGAGCACATGATATAAATTAATAAAATGAATGTGCAATAAATAAGACTAAAATATACCTCAATTTTTTTTTTCAAATCCACTGAAAAGTAGGTCATGTGACAAAAAGTTCGTCATATTTTATTATAGCACATCCAATCACTGTCACGTTATCTTCATTTATGCTGCCTTATTTCCACGCATTCATTACATAATTATTTCTCTCGTTTAAAAATCACAAGGATCATGGACTTAAGTATCGATTGCCCAAGACAATAATTCAAATTCGAAGCTTTAATACACTATCCATATTTAAAGATAAGAAATTGTAGACGATATTCCTTGGCTATACGGTTTTACTCAGCAATGAAATTTTCGATTTTATGGAATAAATGCAATAATTTAGGACCATTTACAAAATCGAAAATTCATTCCCGGTGGTCATTTGTGATTTATTTTGAGTTTTCCCCTTTTTCTTAATAGGGGAAATGGATATTAAGCAGCGGGTCCGAGGAGGCGGGCATTATTTCAATAATTTTCTTAAAATTAAAACGGTCACATTTTATACAATTCAAAATATATTACACTTATACTTTATTTTAAATTATTTCTTCAACTTGAGTACGTCGAATGGACAGAGTACTGCTAGTGGTTGCTTTAGTTGACTGTTCAGCTCGTACTATGACGTGTCTGGTAGTTGCGGGGAAAAGCTGATGAAACAAAAATTATAAATAATGACATTAAAAATCTCCTTACAGAAATTAAGCAAAATAGGACAGGTGATATAAATGTAAACAATCGATGAACGGAAAAGAAATTAACAAAGTGGCTAGACCAAAATTAATTGTGGGAATAGCAAACATAACGAGTCATTTCGTCGATTTTAATTAAATAGTAGTAATAGTAGTAATTAATAATCGAAGGGCCCAGTTCTTGGACATTTATCGAATTTTCATTGTGTAATTCACTTATAGAATTGATTGTTCGATACAATATTCGGCACAACTGAAGGAATTCACAGAACCTTTTCGCCCTACGTAGAAACACAATTATATGTTTTCGTTTCTACTTCTGAGACCTGACGGTTGTTGGCTGTCCAAGAACTGAGTCCATTTGTGTAATGAATGTTTTCAGGTGAAATTTTCCAGAGTAGAAATCGATCCTGTAGCCGACGACGGAGACAGCAGCTAGTCACTTTTATCTCCTCCATTTGCTGCCGGTTCATTTCACGAATTAAATACATTGTGACAACTATAGAGAGATAGTATTGACAAGTGTTGATACCTTTGCAATATATTCACCGAACATCTAGCTACGTTATAATATAAAATAAAATAAAGTAAAAGAAAAAATCTAGAAGACTTACATTTCCAACAATTGGCACAGGCGCTCTCCACTCAACGCGTGCCATTTTTTCCCCCTTCTACGTGTTATTATACAATTGATGATGGCTCTGATGATGTCCCTGCATATGCTGTCTATCATGAGAATGCTGTAACGTGTGCATGTGCTGATACTGGTGCGGGTGCTGCTGTGCATGATGCTGTGCAGGATTATGCCTGGCACTGTACCTCACACTTCCAGCCAAAGAGCCACCACCTCTACCATGAGTACCAACAATACTCTGTGTATCACTCAATTCATCCTCCTCACCACCAAGACTTCTAAACCTAACAAATCCATCCTCAGCGACTAGCATAGTGGAGCCAGAAGCTGGGGCCTGTTCGTGCAGTCCCTGTGGGGTATGTCTCCCCCTGTTCTCTGATCCCCTCAGAGTCTGGACTCCATTACCATGTCGATTGAGGGATCCCCTTCCCTCATGTGGAAAATGTCCCATTGTTCCACTCTTTCTTATCGAGTGCCTCTCAAATGTGCCCGATATATTTAAGTGCTCTGGTAATGTATTCAATGGAAAACTGTCGTCATATACCTGTTTACCAGTCCTCATGGTGTAATTCTGAATGGCCTGATTGGTGCTACAGATAGCTGGATAGAGGACATCATCCATATTTTCAGTGCTGGTGGAGCTGCCACATGGAAACAGAGCAAAACCAGAATGAGCTGAATGCTGTTGCATCTGCTTTTCTCTGAGTGGATACTGGGATAGGCTTGCTACCCAGGCAAGTAATCCACACATGGACAGCTCGATTAGTCTCACGGAGAATTGCCAACCCCACCACAGCCAGGGATAAGGCTGGGCTTTCTCCTGTACACCGAATATTCCGTACAACTGAACGAATCCCATCAAAATGAAGAGCAAAGCTGTTGCTATTGTTGTTGTAATGGCAGTACCAAGGGCAACTGTTGTTGGATCACTGGTGACGTGTGAGCCCACAGATTTATTAGTCGTTAAATTGATTTGAGATCTGACAACTCTGTATACGTACATGTAACAGAGCCCCAGGGTCACACAAACCACGATATAAATGCATTGGCAGACTAGGGGTAGAATTTTCGCTTGATCCTCGTACCCCAGGATGTGAGTTGACACGTGGAGAGAGAGGCAGATTACAATATGAATTATTGAACACACTGCTAGGCCCATGGGTGATAGAAATTTGTTATTTAATGACGGAGCCTCTGAGCATTTAGCAAGATGAAGAACTAATGTGGCGAATGCGGTAGACAGTAATGGAGCTGGTAGATACATGAGTATTTGTGACAGTGGCTCTGATAACGATCTTCCCAGATTGTACGCATCGTAGAACAGGTGAAAGCACCTGAGTGTGCAAACTGTCGTTAAAAGCAGATGAACAGTGAGGAAATACGACTGGGTAAGCAAGTTTGTAGCTTCGTTGAATCTCACGATTTTGTAGATGGAGTAGAGTGCCATGAGGGTGAACATTATGGCAGCTACGTAGACGTGGAGAGACCAGGCTATTCTCCATGTGTTTTCCAAGGGATGATGGCTGTCAGAATGAGGAACAATGTGATTGTGATCAATGGGTCTTTTCGAGGGAGCTGGGGGTTGTGGCTGGGGATAAGGTAATCTCTCTGCATCTACAATCTCTATTTCCTCCATTTTTTCATCGTCCTCTATGTTATGGCCACTATTATCAGCAGGCTCTTGTCTTCTAGTATTTGGAAGATTGAAAATAGTCGGTCTTGTAGCTGATCGCACCATACTCGTTGTCCTAATTGTCATTGACGTTGTAACAGGACTTCTCTCAGTTGTCAACGCTGCTGGAACGTTTGTCATTGGCATTTTGGTGGATAGAGGTTTTAACAGTATCTCTGGGATATCCTGTTTTCTTCCATTGCTACCTGATAGTATTCTCGAAATACTGGGATAATGCAGAGTCGGTACGAAGTCATTGCTATTGTTTTTTCTCTCGATTTCTCCTGATGTCTCTGGGAGTTTTTGCTCCTTGCTGGGTGTGTTCAGCGCTTTATTCCTTGATGGAGGCTTCTCAGGTGTTTGCACTGGCACATGCAGAAGATCCGGTGGTCTTATGGGAATTCTCTCGTGTGCTGGAGTCAAACTCGGTGGAGGAATGGGTCTTCTCACACCTGAATAGTTCTCGGAATTAGTACCGCGAAGTGTTGGCTTATCAGCAAATGGATTCAGGTACTCTGGGGGGAGGGGTGGAGTGAATGGGGCTCTTGACGGGGGAGCGTATGAGGGCAATTCGCGATAAGGGGGCGAGACCGTTGCCCGGGGGATTGGATTTCTCATCGCTGGTATTGAGGGGGTTGTTGGTGATGGGGGGTTTGATGATTTTGCTGTTGTTGTTGTTAGAGGAGAGGGAACCGTAGAAAGGGTGGTGGAGGCTGAAACTTGAGCCTCGTAAGCGGGCACACTCCGTTTTGTTGTTGCTGAACTGTGGGCGACTTTGTTGAATATCGCTGCAATGTTCTTCTCCAATGCTGTATGATCCAAGTTAAAAACTGGTGAGTTGGGCCCACCATCTGTAGAACTCTTCGATTCCTCAATTGACGTCCAGATGAGGAAGAGCATTAAAATTGCTCGTGACATTGTTCTCACCATTTTTAGTTATTTAGAATTTATTTATATCTTGATCATGACACTTTTATTCAAAGTGCAATTTAATGTGGAGTTGTTTATTGTATTTGTATTTGTTGTTCTAGTTTGTTTAGAATTTTTTTTTCCTTTTTCTATTTGGATTAAGGACACTTGGAGGTAAAATAACAATTTTTTTTTACGGTTTTTTTTTTGTTATTCTAGATGGGAAAATGTTCAGAGTCTTGTGGAAGCTTGTATTCCCAAAGTGAAAATAGAATGTCTTTAGCAAACGTGTCACTAAAAAAGTTGGCTTCCTCGTTGGACCGATCTCGAGAGAACGAGAGAGAGAGGCTGTCACGAGTTTTTCTGTGCTTGTTTTTTTGTTTTTCTGTTTTTTTATCCTTTTGACTTTTTCGTTGAAAGTTTGTTGAGAACTTTTGTCAACTTCTTTAAAACCAGTTTTTAGGTTTCTGTACACGTTTTGGTCTTATTGTAATCTCTCACTGTTTACGGCCGATGGTAGCCAAAAAGTGGGAACTGTCTTTATTATTTCTCTCGGTTTTCTTCTTTATGTTTCTCAGTTTATTGGAGCTTTAGCCACGACAGCTAGTCTTTGTCGATTGGCAGTAGTACTTTTTTATCTTTTTATAATTCACTAACGATGATCGTTTCGATTCAGCGATGGTAAAAAATGTTTGGCCTTGCGTGAAAATTATTAACAAGTCTGCTCCACTGGTGTCCAACTACTTCTCTCGATTTTCGAGGTAGACAGTGTTCCCTTCTGAGTTCTTTGTACCTGAAATAATGGGTTTAGAATTAGTTGAGTCTTCAAAATAGCAACAAGCAGATATTGCGATATAATTTAATTGAGTCCTTTCGTTCCAAATCTGTGTTTTTATTTTGTGGAGAATCTATTGGGCAAATCACAACAACACCGACCCCTAATAAAATTAAACGAGCACCTTGACCAACCAACATCGTAACTAAGGGAGATCTGGACCAAAATAACGTCGGTCCCAATTAGGTGAAGGTGGAGATCAGATCATACATGATCTTCGTGGGTTTCATACCAGTCGCGAAACCTGAGCAACACTAAGTGCTGGTATGATTTCGATTGAATCAGTTCCTGTGTTTTTGAATTTAATTAAATTAACCCTATTATAAATTTATAAATTCATACCTCTAGAAGAATTTTGTAAGGGGCAGTGTTGTTGGCATTTGCCATTTGCTGTCATTTATTTTGAGGAATCGATTGTAATAATTCAGAGATTATAAATGAACTAATATCGTACCCAATGCGAAGAATTATGAATAAAGTTATTATGGGTTAATGATTGATTAATTAATATATAGAAAAAAGGGTGTAGACTTACCGAAAAAATTTTCTTCTCATCACACTGTCGATCAATCTTCCGTTCCATTTCGCCTGGATCCGGTGATGAGAAACGAAAAATTTCTTTTGGATTCAGTGGTACTGAGAGATGGTCATCAGATTACAACTTAGGAATAATCCCATTCTCAGATTTTCTATCGATTCAATCCTCAAGAACCTGGTATCTAATCTGAAATCAAATAATTGAACAAACCACAATTAGAATTGCACAAATACGGCAATTAATCTACGATCACATTAATTGCTAATTGCATTTCCCAAAAAGCCTTAATACCTCACGTATGGTCTAAAATAGAATATTGGAAATTATAGAGAATAATTTACCCACAAGACTAAAGACTGAAGAGGGACGCAGGTTCAATTACAATTTTAATTGTCAAAATTAATTTAATTAATTAGTTATTCATTTTAATTTTAATTGCTAATTTATCTATCCATTAATGAAGACTGATTAGGATTTAATAATGATACCCATGCGTGGTTAACTATTTAACAATTCAATAGTAATATATCATAAGTAATAAATATTTTATAAATAATTTTGAAGCTTATGCACAATGAAGATGATTGATAAAAAAACGGATAAATGGTTTTTCTGGTTCAACATATTTTAATGTTTAACTGTTACACAGTTTGTAACAAAAAGATGTTGAGCTAAAGAAAATTATTTAAAAAGTTGTGTCTTGAAATTCCACTTTAAACTCAATGTTAGGATTATAAAATTATTGTTTCAACTGATATCTTTAAGGCGACAAGTGAAACGAGTCTTCGGGCTCTTTAATAATATTAAGTTTTAGTATCTTACCTACCACTGCATGGAACAAATAAGTACTTGAATCAAGTATATTTTATAGTTAATTGAAGTATATCAGTTAAACTAGACCCGAGCCTTTATATTTCATCCTATTGTATTCATTATTGTAATTAGAATCGTTGGAAATGAATTTTTCATCGACATTCATCAAAAATCGAATATCCTAGGATCAAGTACAAAATTTTCTTGATAATTTTATTCAAACGTTTTTTTTTCAGTTTATCAATTAATTTCTTCTTTCATTCCTTTCGCTTGTTGCATTATTTTCTGTTTTGACATGCATTGTGAATTAGTCCCACATTATTATTAAATTAAATCATGAGAAATGAGTTGACATGTTTTTTAATTGGATATTTTAAATTGGACCATGAATAATTTGTTGAAATGTAGGTGCCGGAATATTTGGAGGAGATCCTCAACATTTTTCAAGGAAGTGAGTAGTTGAGATTCATGAAGAATGTGAGGAACAAATTTCAATATGAAAACGGTGAGAATGTGTGGTTCAATCAGAGAGAATTGTAATAGTGAAAATATGAGTAATGGAGGGGTTAGAGGAATCCTTGAAGAAACCAAGAGGTTCGAGATTAGGTCGATGGGGAAGGAAACAATAGTTGGCGGTATGGAAAAGGTGATGAATTTCCAGATGGAGTTCATCTGAGAGAAGAGGGAGAAAAGGGAGAAAAGGGAGAAGAGGGAGAAACGGGAGAAGATGGAGAGGAGGGAGAAGAGGGAGAAGGGGGAGAAGAAGGGGAGAGGGATGAAAACGATGGAAGATTAGGGTGAGTGGTAGAGGGGAAAATTTAATAAGGAGAATATGTGGATAATAGCAATTATTTCAGCTCAAATGAAGTGGCAGCGACTGCTATCCAGTCCATATTTTTTCTGCGCGAATTTATTTTCCCACAGGCGAAAAATTAATGAAACCCTAAGCTCTTCATACCACAATATTCTGCCTAAAAGATTTGTTTCATTTTCTCTGTCATTCGCTTCACGAGTGATGTTTTACAGGCATGGAACTAGACACGTGAAAATCAAGAGGATAAACCGAAAAATTGGCAAATTCGATGAAAATAGAAGAGAACAAGTAAAAACGGAATGACGGGATAAAATTTTACTCCATCTCCTTCATTTTTTTACTCAATAATATTTCAGACACATGTGTCCGTTGCTCGAACTAAAATGAACAGAAAATCTATGAATCTAATAATCAGAAGAATTATTTAACGCAGAATATTTTTCTGTCCAAAATATAGACTGCTGTCTGTAAAAAAAAATTCTCCAGTTGATATTCGTTTTTTGCACACTCACTTTGTGATCATCTCTTTTTTGTTCCCTTGCCATCGAAAAAAAATATCAGCGCAATTTTTTTTCGTGAAAACTAATTTGTCCCCTAAAATTCCCTTTCAACATTTTTCGTTGAATCGCAGGTATTTGGAATTTAAGCGAATAATTTGTTTTTTTATTGCCTTGATATGAAAAACATTTCGCATTTATTCACAATTCACTCTATAAATATTATTACTACTTTATGCATTTCAGCGAATGGCATAAATCAATAAACAAATAAGAAAACGCCTGAGTAAATTTTGTTTAAAATTCGCTCCGGTGTATCGTATATAAATATTTATCGATTGAGTGGAGAAAATCATAATCAAATCATTTTTACTGCAAAAAATAATCAAATTGCCCGAGTCGAATTATTATAATTATTTCTTCACGTCCAAACTATTGAATTTTATTATAAATAACGAATTTGGAGAAATTTCGGTCAGTTTTATGCGCATAATTAAACAACTGCTGAGTGGGTCAATTCCATAAACTAATCAGTTCTCAATTACATCAAGGCGCATCAAATGGCAATAAAAAATTTTAAATCGCTTCATTTATTCAAGAGATATAGTTAAACAAATTTGCGGCCACACATCTTTGGAAACTCATGGGAGCAATCCTGGTGGTCGAGAGATGCGAAGGAATCATCAAAATTTCAGATTCGGTTTTGAAAGTCATTACATTTCCCGCCGTTTCGGTGAAGAAGTTGATAAAGAATGAAAATAAAAAATGAAATTTATGGATACCAATTACTCATATGAAAACTACACAGGGCACATTCTTCATGATCTTGGATTAACGATCCTCTCTTTGTCCTGACAATTTTCAATGAAAGACCCGAGTCGGATTGACTGATGAATCAAAAGAAAATTCCCACGTGGCGGATAATTCAGAAATGGACAATTCACGACTTTCGGAACGAATTGCACCCCAAACAAACGTACACCGAGCGACGCCTTTCTCCCTTTGTCATCCCCTTCACCCACTTCACCCCCCGTCGACCCATAAAATATATGACTAGGGGAGATCGGGGCAAAACGGAACTGGGGGTGGAAACATGTGGTTCATTATACGTTTATACACCACCGAAAATTCACCAAAACCACTCATACCGTCACTCCATTTTAGTCTCGCTTTCCATTTTGAGTAATTTAAGAATTATAAATAAATATAAACTATATTTATTTATAAGTTATAAGTCTATTTATGTTTTAATTCTGGGATCTCTCTATTAGGTATCATTAAAATTTTATTGCCCAGGTGGTACTCCTTTTTTGGATAATCTATTATTTTCTTCACTTTAGATTTCTGAACAACAAATTTAATTTAATTTATTTAACATTTCATTCATTCATAAAACACTCATTCATTTTTGTCAGTCGTAAGAGAATCTGTTTAATCATTAATTAGTTTAATAATTGAGAGTTTTTTTGTGGATAATGACGGGCTGTTATTCATTTTTAATTGCACGGATTGCTTTTGATTCTCTCTTTTGATACGAAATTTTATTCAATTACGAAGAGTGTAAGGAAATGGTCGGGTACTTTGGGTTATTATGATGGGATTTTTCCCTGATGTCAAATAGATTTCAAAGACGAAGGCGAGAATTATAACTAGTCCATCGCAAAAGTCTAGATAATATTTCCCCGTTGTGATTTTCAAGTTATCAAATCGAGAAAGTAATACCTATCGATTGCCAAACGAGACATTAAGAAGACGAATACGAAAAAAAGTATTCCAAAAATGGATTTATATATTTATTAATGAATTTCCTCCAAGAAGATTCTCAGGTATTAAAAAAGGTATTCAAATTTTTATTTATGATGTATTTTACTTTTGATATTCACATTGATTAACCTGATTATCAAAATCCGAGTGTTAATTAAATAAATGAGATGCGACACTCCATTCTAGTTGAAAAAAGATTCTCAGATATTAAAGAAGGTATTCAAATTTTTATTTATAATGTATTTTATTTATGATATTCACCTTAATTAATGGGATTATCAAAATCAATTAAATAAATGAGATGCGACTCTTTACTCTAGAAATGTAATTCACAGGATGTAATAATTTGAATGGATTTCTCGTCGAATTCACTTCTGTCCTGTAACATGATCACTCAAGTGGTAATTTTCTAAAGAAACAAATTGGTGTTTCTGAGGTGAGTCAACTCCTCTAGGTTGCAATCAAGCCCAGCTGGCGTCAGGCACCAGTTCCCCCTTGGCCCCAGGCACCTTGTCATACAACATACGGAAAATAAAGGCTCCCTTGAAGCTCTTCAATGGAAGAGACGAGGAAAAAGAGTGGAGAGAAACAGTACGGAACAGGAGAAAGGAGAGCACTGGCCCCCGAGGCATTATGCAAGCAACACCCCATCCAGAAAACTAATCCCTCTTGCTGGTAAGACGATCCTCGGAGAGTTGTCTTCATCTGGCTTCTTCTTTTGTTCTTCAAGTTACTGGGTTGTACATCATAACGTTAAATATGTCAACGTTGATGATGTGATATCGGTGACATGTGAGTTCATTAATTCATTTTCATTTTTTAAATAATCAGGATAATGTTTAGTGTTCCCCATCGATTCCCATAAATCTGGAGATTCTGTCTACATTTGAAGTATGAAGTATCATTTTTATTTATTTGAAGAAAAATTGAAAAGGGCCCACTTTGTCATTGAGGCGTAGAACTGGAAAATTTATGTACTTTATGTGGGTTTATTACATGATAATGTACATCGATGGATGCACATGGATGAGTACTAAGTAACTAGTGAATTCGATCATTGGAACGAGCAGTCAGGCTGCTCCCTTTTCAAACGAAATTAATGAGTTCAAGTAACAATCTGTCGTATTTTCTGTTTCTCGCTGTTCGATAGATCCTCAAGTTCATATCATAATCTTCGTTATTATAATAATTACCATTTTTCGTTTTTAATAATTAGTTATTGCACTGAAAAATGGATATCAGAGAAAAAGGACCACTTTGTCGTAGCTTGTTTATTTAATCATCTGATAATTTAATCT